TTGTTAGAGAGCATAGATTACTTGGTTTATGTGGCCCTTATGGCTGCAGGTTTTGGATAAGTTTAACACAAGATGGACTGCAATAGATTTCCTGCCTCAAGTCATTGATAGCTTTATAAATTTACTTAAAAATGTTTGAACGGTTCACCAGCAGGTATGGTGTCTCACATGAACCAGAAATCCTATGATCAATTAAAAAGTGATACTTTAAGGCTAACCTGCATGCAGGACATAGCCGTATACAGTGCAATTTAACACAGCAGGCAATGTTAATTTTTAATTGGAAAAAGATGCTAATACCAATTACTAAAAGGTTGGCAAAAAAAAATCACCCTCATATATTTCTGCTGAATATAGAGTTAAAATTACTTTGTGGCCTTTTATTTTTTTGTAAATACAAATTGGCAGCCACAAATATTGCATTTAGGGGATAATTATAAACAAACGCAAATGGCATGCTTAATTTTTCAAGAATTTAACTTTATCACACAAAAAAAATCTAAATATCAAAATATGAATCGTCTCCAGCAAACAATAGTGAGGTTTGCATCCAGTCAATGTAACTAAACATTAAGCTCAAGCCTTTTTAACTGCTTTCATACAAATAGTTTTAGGGTGTGTTGGGCATATTTGGACCATAATAAGATGCTCCTACCGCAGATAAAATATATACATATGTGTCCTGGCTTATCTGCATCATAATTGAATCCATGTCCTCTAGGATTTTTTTTCTTTTGTCTTTACAGCAGCGTTTGTCTGATCCAAGGCAGACATATCAAACAAACATTCCTGTTGCTTCTCGATTTCTTATTTAAATCCACATAACTTGTGGCTTCAAAACATCCAAAACACAACTCAGTAGTCAACAGGTCACAATTCTTTTTGCAGACAGCAGATGGTGCACTTGCTCCTTTTATTGTGCAAAAAAGTGCGCAACCGAGTATGTGTATGCAATCATATGATAAAATACCAGTATGCATGTTTTCCTCATCTAGAATTCATGTCAGAAAAAAATAATATCTAGATAGGTTGTTACAAAAAAAATTTTTTAACAAATATTCTGTTTAATTAGAAAGGGGCAATACTTATAAGGAGCAGAAGCTTTCTATAAAGAATGGCCATTCTGAACTCAACACTTTAAGGGGCTTTAACTTTGTAACAAAACAAAACAAAAATTCCTGCTGAAATGTTACTCTCTTGAGGGAGTTGGAAGGGATAGGACTGAAAATATTTCTATAAGAGAATGATCTTGGATGACAAACATCAAAACACATTACCTACAAGTGCAGCGTACAGTATCTGGTGCTGTTTTTTCGAAATACTGTGCTTAAGGTCGAGGTAGATGTAAAAAAAAAAATGAAAAAAAGGACATAAAAACAAAATAAAAAGTAATAAAATGTATCTTTGTGGGCCCCAAACTTCCTAAAACCTGGAGACCAAAGAGCAGCTTCATCATGTCAAACAGCAAATAAAAAAAGACATACATACAAAGAGGCAGGAGTCACTTTCCATGGAAAACAAAAATCAGAATTATTTTTTTTGTACCTAATATAATAGAAAATTAAAGTTCCTTATGGAAAAATATAACTTTTTTTTTTTTTTTAAACCTAACAGCTGTAAGGAAGATAAAAAATATTTAGTAACCAGCAGTTGAAAAGGATCCGATGAAAACATATTTGGGGATACACCCTCCAAAATCACAAGCCTTGTTTGGAAACCTTAAGCAGCGGAGCCTCTTTAATATTAAAAAAAAAAAAAATCTTAAAACATACACAACAAAAATGATTTAAACCCCCATAAAACAGGAAGTGATGGAATGTCTAGGCTTGTCCTGCGGGCAGTTACCGACTGCTGGACGAATACTTGGCCTTAGTGATGAGATAGAGGACAATGTCTTGGTGGCCCCCATAGGCCGCTATGTGCAGAGCACTCCAACCGTCCCTGTTGGCCAGTCTGATGTCGGCTCCAAATTTCACCAGCAGCTTGACCAACTCCAGGTTGCCATCAATTACAGACTGGTGCAATGCTGTCTGCCCCTCTGGGCCAAAGGAGTTAACGTTAAACTCACAGTTGGTCATGTTCTGGAGAAGAGAGTGGAGCTCCTTGGTGTTACCTTTCCTTACAGCCTCCTGGAACACCCGTTGGGTGTGAGGGACCGAGCAGGTGGACACTTCTGTCTGGCTCATGGCTGGGAGGGATCCAGGTGTGTAGAGGGCCAGGTCTCCTGATGGCAAAGAAGGCAGGAAGCTGGTCTGGATCCTGGTATCAAAGGATCTAGAAGCAGGTCCTGTTGGTAGGGATCTCTTTAGAAACAGGTTCTGTTGGTGAGGATCACTTTAAAAGCAGGTTCTGTTGGTAGTGACCTCTTTAGAAGCAGGTCCTGTTACTAGGAATCTCTTTCAAAGCAGGTCTTATTGCTAGGAATCTCTCTTGAAGAAGGTCCTGTTACTAGCAATCTCTTTCGAAGCAGGTTCTGTTGTTGGGGATCTCATTAGAAGCAGGTTCTGTCGGTAGGGATCTCTTTAGTGGCAGATCCTGTTGCTGAGGATAGCTTTTGAAGCAGGTTCTGTTGGTAGGGATCTCTTTAGAAGCTTGCTTGTTGGAAGGGATCTGTTGGTAGGGATCTCTTTAGAAGCTTGCTTGTTAGAAAGGATATGTTGGTAGGGATCTCTTTAGAGTAGGTTCTGTTGGTTTGGATCTCGGTCCTGTTGGCAGAAACCTCCTACAGAAGCTGTAAGCGAAGATCTCCTGCAGCCAATCCTGGTGTATAGGCTCGGTGCAGGTGAGCCAAGGCTATCTAGGTGGTGTCAGTGGCCAGCTCTGGTAGTCTCTCAGTAGGTGCTGAAGCTCCTACACCCCTTGTACTGTATAGCTCCCTCCACTACTTCTGCACAGCTGGATCCAGGAGGCCAGGAAAGGGGTGAGAATTCCCAGTAATCCCAGAAGCAAGGATGCAAAGAGCACAACTCCTCCAGCAAAGGCACTTCCAAGTTAGTGATCCCAGGCTCGCACGGTGCTTCCCAGCTATCCACGGCTTTGCACAGTGACTCTTAGCGATCCCGAGCCTTGCTCAGCGGCTATGCAGCGGACCCCAGGCTGGCTCTGCAGGGACTAGTGATCCAAGGCTCGCACGGTATCCTCTAGGCGACGCATGAGGCGGTCTGTCGCTGGTGCTGCTGGAAACTTGCAGGTCAGACTCAGCTCAGCTCCGGACAGCGCGGCCCCTTTTAGGTAGAGCGCTGATTTGCATCACAATGCCCCGCCGTCCCGGTTTCCCATTGGCTGACAGCCCACGTGGGCCCAGCCCCTCGGCCCTCCCAGCGGAGTGGAACGTTGAGAATCTGGGCGTGGCCTGGAAGTTTGAGTTTAGGGAGAGTGACAAAAGTTCTCACGCACTGTCTGAAAGAATGAGGGGGGCTGCCCTGCACTCCGCCCCCTCCCGCATGGCCATGTCTTCCAGCCTCTCTGTGTCACAGCTCCCCACTGTCCCATACTGGGACCCAATACCCGCATGTACCTCTCTCATCGGGAAGTGTAAGCCCATTTAACCCCTTTGGACTTAAAAAGACGTATTGCGGTGATGACTGGAGAATATTCTTGCCTCAGAACGTTAAATTACCTTGGAGTAGAGAACTGGGAATGTGCAACCGTGTGTTCCTAGTTCTCTCAGGTCAGATAAATCAGTATTAACTGAACTGACTCATACTGACATGGCTTAAAAAAAAATGGCCATGATGAGGTTAATCTTTAATGATCCCCATTTTATTTCTAGTGGTCAAAGTTAATCTCCAACATGTTCAGAGATTGGAATTTATTGTTGTCACCTTTTTGTTGTTGGCCAATGAGATGTGTCTGTAAATTGGGACACATAAAGGGCTCATAATGGCTATTAGGAAGACTTTGTGAGGCCAGAAAAAACGCAGCTCGTGCATTGTACATGATGACATTGGCGAGGGCGGGCCACACGACCAGCGAAGAGGAGCGACTTTGTGGGAGGAAGCCTGCGGAAGTAAAGACTCTGGCATTGCCTAAGATAACAAAGTAATACTTATATGGTATACATTTGTGTGTATATAAATATCTATATTTAGATTCTGTGATATGTTCTGTGCACGGTCAGCTTCAAAACAGTCCAGGGGTGACATGTTTAATCTAATAGACCCCTAATGTCTCCTTAAAGAGAACCCTTCTGAGGTGTACTCAGCAGCTGTAACAAAAATTAAACACAAAGTAAAAAAAATAATGGAGGCTCCATAACCCCCAGAAGACATTTAAAAAGACAACGCTGTAATCTGTAACATCTTAGCATTCCTTAGAAGAGGTGCCTGCATCAGTTATCTTTTGTTTGAGACTTATTTTTTCCGTTCACTTGATGATCCTGCCAGTAACATACTTCATGTCTTAGGGTGACAACAATCACTGTACTTTAACTATGGAGAAACAGTGCTGTCACCCTAGGACAGGACTATAGGGCACCTCCCCCTCCACCAAAAACACCTTGATTTCTCCTTCCCTATTGACTCCAAAGAATACCACAGAAATGGTGACTTTTAAGCAAAATGATCTGATTTGCACCATAAGGAAGGTTTTTGGCAAATTGAAAACTCTCAATTTCACTGATCCCTACTATTTTTCTGAGCTAGGGGTCTCAGATAGTAGAACTCTTTGTATGCAAGAAAGATTATAGCTGTCCTATAGCTGTTGGATCACTTGTACAGGCAGTCCCCATGTTATGAACAAGATAGGGACTGTAGGTTTGTTCTTATGTTGAATTTGTATGTAAGTTGGAACAGGTACATTTTTTAAGGGTAACTGCAGCCAAAAAAAAATTTGTTTTGCTTTAGATAGCATAGGGAAGAGTTAACCTCCTGTAAAGTTTGTTTTGTTGTGCGTGCCCCTGTTCAGAAGATTTCACCTCACTTTCTGTCGCTGTGACAATTGGATTTTGAGAATTTTGGGTTGTCGTGGAAACAAGGATTGATAATAAAGCTTCAGTGGAGACACCTTTTTCCCATGATAACTCTTACAGGAGTGAATTTCCCTTCCTAAAGGTAGATTTCCTCTCACTTCCTGTTGTCTCAAGGACAGGAAGTGAGATTAAATCTTTCTAATGAGGATACAGACAGCAGTAAAAACCTCGCAGTGACCGGGAAGAAGATGCAGGCACCCCTCGTCTGCATGTCTAACAAGAGCCAACTTCCTGTAATGTACATATAGTACTACGAACCAGACCCAAAAAGGCAGGCACTCCTCGTCGGCACGAGCCTGGTAGCATTACAACTACTGAAATGCTGCACGATACACTTTGGCTGCAGCCTGAGACCTCCCTGCTGTACAGTAATAGCCTCCGTTTGTAAGTAGGGGGTCATATGTAAGTCGGATGTTTGTAACCCGGGGACTGCCTGTATGTGTATATTGTATTTTGGATCTTTGGTTGGGTGCGGGGGATGCATTTATTATTGCATAGTAAATTATATATATTCATTTTTTTAGGGCACGTTTATTACACATTCAGTATTTTCATGTTTGCTATTATTCTATTTGCAGTCACTATTTTGACACTGGAATTTCAAGGACAGTTATAATAGGATCCGGGTCCACTGAAAAAGGTAAATCTGCTATTAGTCATATCGTATCATATATCGTATCACTGGGAACGTGATTTCCATCAAGGAGTTAAAGTGCCTAATATTATCATTCCTATATTTTAGTCATCGATGGAAATGTTTTCTTGCAGTTTGTACATTTTATAACATCATTATGTTTGTACAATTTATGTTGGTACTATAAAATGTTCCACTATTCGGAAAGCAATAGGTCTTGTGAGTGAGTCTACTGGGGGCAGCACTTGAGAGGAGGTGATATTACAGGAAAATCTGCATTTTTATTATTTCCATGAATGGAGATTCTATTTTAATATCATGGTTGTGGTTAGTTATATTTTCAAGTGTTTTTTTTTTGCCTGTATAGAGAGCGCCTCATCCTGGACAGATCCCAACAATACTGTCGAGATCCACCCAGCTGCGTGAGTGACAGCTTGCTCAGCCTATCTAAAGGCAGAGCCAGCTGTGCACGCCCCCTCCCCCGTTTGTTCCTCCATTAAGCGCTGGAGGATCGGAGAGGGGAATCCCTGTGGGGTGCGGTGACAGACAGTCAACGCTCCCTGCAGGGAGACGATCAGGAAGAGAGCAGATTGGTGCAGGTTTCTGCTCACTTCCCGATCGATAGAGCCGACCTGTGACAGCTTCTTTGTTACAGGTCGGCTCTAACTATGAGGATGAGTGGAAATCACTCACCCCATAGTTCTCCTTTAAGTAAGAATCTTACCTTAATCTTAGTTCTGTGTAACCCACTGCAGCCAGAATGAAGAAAGCACCTCACTGGGGCATTGGGGATGAACGTGCTGAAACCTGTGCCGTGTACCTCCTTCTCTTTGAATGTAATTGGTAAAATAGTAAGCAGACTTCAATGAAGTTTTAAGTCTGATTGGTGTGAGTACCTTCCTAATAATTACATTTATTTTACATTAGGCCTTCAAATGCTCATTTAAAAGGCCTAATTTAAAACACAAGGAATAAATGTCCCTTTCCAGTATATTACATCTGTCATAACTTGGCCATTGTCCACATGTGTAGTGAGGCGCTAAGATGCTGGCACCTCATCAAAATGTCTCAGGAAATTGTTCTAAATTGCTAAAAAGCAGCCTTTACACTCAGGTGTTACACTTGTAAACTTTATTACTAGGAAGGTGATGGGGCTTTGCAATTACTCAGGGCAGAAGCCGAACACAGCCAGTTACACCAAAGACTCCAAGGTACTATTGTAACACCAAAGACTCCAAGTACTATTGTAACACCAGTGACTCCAAATACTATTGTAACACTAAAGACTCCAAGGTACTATTGTAGCACCAATGACTCCAAGGTACCATTGTAGCATGAAAGACTCCAAGGTACCATTGTAGCATGAAAGACTCCAAGGTCTACTTGGAGCTTTGGGTATACTGAGCTTTGGTCCTCCCGTGACCCTAAAGAGAACTATGGGGAAAAACACTTACCCCATAGTTCTCTTTTAAGCACATTAAAAGCATTAAATAGAGAACATCCGTTGCTCACTAATTGCTTTTCACTTGTGGCCTAAAATGACTCTTTAAAAGGAGTTTGTCGCGTAGCAAAATACTTGCATAAGAAGCTTCTGGTAGAAGCAGCCTACCTGAGTAGTAGTGATGGTAGGGATGTAAGAGACATAATTGCCCCTGATCTAGCAAGTAGCAAGGCAGATAATTTCTGCTTCCATCAGCTTCTTTAGTCTTGTGCCTGATTCATATAAAATG